GCCCAATCTGTTATCATCATGGTATGTTCCGGTAGATCGAAATCATACGCTTCGCTGTTGAACTCTATTTTTCGAGACTTCCTCACAATCAATGGGCCTGATGCGCCACTTCCCCTCTGGTAACCTGCGTGTGAGTGCCACCAATGTGTTCCAGCGGGCTCAGCAATGAACTCGTAGACAAACGATGACCCGCGTGCTATTGGACATTGCGTCACACGCGGGACCCCGTCCATCCAATTATTCCCTCTCATATGGATCCCGTGCCAATGCAATGTAAATCCAGCATCTGATTGTAAGTTGTTAGATACCTTCACTCGTATGGTATCACCTTCGCAAACCTGATAGAAAGTTTTAATGAAATTTAAAGTTCAAGATGTTTACTCCAATCCATTCAAATAATAACAAAAGGTATATTGTAATATGATAATAATAATAATAATGATGATGATGATAATAATAATAATAATAATAATAATAATAATAATAATAATAATAATAATAATAATAATAATAATAATAATAATAATATGATGATGATGATAACGATGACGATGATTTATGATGATTACGATGATGATTATTTATGATGACGACGATGACGATGATTTAATCCCCTAGTTTAGATATTATAGTTTTGGGCACAATGCTATACTCGTAAAGTTTGTTTTAATAACTTTCAACATGCACTTTTGTAATATTTTTTTAACCAAAAAATGAAATGTAAGGGTACTCAATGTAAGTAAACTATATTTAAATGCATCTTACATAGTGTATTAAAACGACGTTTATAATTTTAGATCTAAATATCAACTTATTTTAGTAATGTTGTTTTTCTCCAAAATATTACCTGAATGCTCGGTCCGGGAAACGTGCCATTTACAACGGCCGCAGGTCTTGAAGACCCGTCAACAGGTACACACTTTTCGAGATTACAGTCTTCTTTCTTTAGCGGACAGTCCCCACAATGACCTGACATTGTCTGGATCCATTCAACATTTAGGTCGTACTCGCATATCATTGGTTTAGGCGGATATACGCACTTTCGGTAGCAATTACTTGAAATCACAGGCCTGTTGACGACAGACTCTTTAATTTTACATTCTAAAGGTTGACCTAAAAGCAAATGATATTAATATTATTAATATTATTATTATTATTAATATTATTATTATATTATTATTATTATTATCATCATAACCATCATGATTATTATTATTATTATTATTATTATTATTATTAGTTTTATTATTATTGAAGTTACTAGAGTAGAACTACATTACAACGTCATCTTTATTTATTGCTTTTACCTTTATCTTTGTATTGTAATCGTTATTCATTTTTCGAATACATAGCCATTTATTATTGGCTCTCGATCAAGGCATTTCGGTTGGCACGCCAAAGTTTTCTCGAATTAGGACTTAGATGCAGGTCCGTGCCTCGCTCGTGTGCCCCTGCGGCTTCCCCATAGAGACCCTGTTAATCTCCGTTAACATTGCTAGATACCCTGTCCGGTCAGCTTAAATCAACCCGACAAAACTGCTAAAAGGTGCCATGAATTGTACTAAATGAAAAAAAATATATATAAATCTTACCATATTTTACAAGAAGTGAAAACACTATAGGAACTAACGGGATGATTTGAGTCATCGCAACGTGCCTGTATCGTCCTACAGTGAACGGTCTATTAATCAGAACAAACGTAATATAGCTACCATAATATAGGCCTATTATAGTTCCATAATTATATGATATGTAGAAGCGATGGTATGTGTATTGTTTATGTTGGTGACTGGAGGTAAAGATGAGGGTACTTTTTCAAATGGCAAGACGTGGCTGCCCTCTTTGACCCTATAACATTGTATAAAAATAATTTTTAAATCATATAAATGTAGAAGAATAAATATAAACATATTAATTTTATTTTCCTTTATTTTATTTCACAAATACATCCAAAAGCCGTTTGCCAATTACAGGACACCTTCCTATAGAGTCCGTGTACATTTTGCCCAGACATATAGTTAGACATACCTTGTGGTTGAATCCACTCTTTTTATATTTAGGCATGTTATTTGAAGTCTTTATATTTCTTTTTGTGCGTGGTGGTTGTACAATCGGTTAAAGCAGGGCCGTGACGGGAACGCTTCTCATGATTTCACAGGACGCCTTATAAATATAGAGATATATTTTAAAATACGTACTGTATAATACAATGCATTTAAAATACATATACATGCATAAAATACATACATATTTTTATATATTTATTGTAACTCATCCTTGTTTTTGTGCATTAACTTTTGTATGTGTTTGATATATATTTAACTAACTTTTTCTATATCTTGTGGTATTTTTTATTTTTTAATGTAACAAGGAAAACAAATCTCATGATATCGTTATGACAATATAGAATAATCTAAATCTGAATCTGATAATTGAAATTTATGATGCAATTTTATGCCATTGATACTATGATGAGCTGGACTCGCATCTGATTCGAACCCAAAATCGGACCGAGTTTCCGTCAAATTCGATTTCTTATCGGTTCGGTAGGCCTTCCGATCCGAAAACTCGGCAATCTATTACGATTTGTGTGATACTGATTTACACATTAGTAGGCCTATCACTCAAAAACTCGGCTATTATTACAATTTGAGTGGACATGTTTAAGATTACATTCTATGTATGTATAAGATAAATATTTATTAGCTAAATTTTGAGGGAAATTTATCTGATTTTCATTTTGTTATTTGTTATTTTAGAATTCATAAAGCGCCTATTCCGTTAGGTTACAAAGCGATTTGTTTTCCCTGGTCATTGGGTCCACATGCTTAAGTGTTGCTGCTTATATTGTCGCAGTAGCAGGCAACCCCACCAGGTACCCATATATATTCCTGGGTGGAGAGAAGCAATTTCAAGATAAAGTGCCTTGCTCAAGGACACAAGCGAAATCTACAATACATTTCTTTCATAGCGATAATATATGGAGAGGCCTCAATGCGCTTTACACAATTTAAAATGTATAACTAAAATATATTAGTAATTATATATACATGATGTTCCTATATATAGGCATGTCACCTGTTTTTGTAAATACAATTTTATAGCATTGACAAGGCATTTGACTGTAGCAGAGATATACAGTATGAAATAGGTAAATACTGAAATATAACGCTAAAAAATGAATAGTTTCTCTCTTTGACACCATCCAGGGTTAAACTGTAAGTAAATAAGCATTCAATAAGCCTATTGTTGTTAGTCAATGCTCGCTCAATATTTACACATACATCGGGCGTCCGCCGACAACCCATAGCAACAACAAATGGTAGCAGGCAAATGAGGTGGCGGCTTAGGCCTGTAATTTGCTTCTTAAATAAATTGTAAACCAAGCAAGTACAATGTGTCGTTGGGGATGTGCCACTGTTGATACGGTATGTACACTTGAATTAATTTGTTAAATAATAACTATCGGTTGATGGTTTATTTACGCGTACAATTAGTACCGGTAGATAGTGCCTAGCTAGTTTTGGTTTTTTTTTTGTATAATTTAGGGTACGCTTCTTTGTTTGCAGTCTAGTGTTTAAGGCCTATTAGTTTAACCCTTGTATTTAATAAGCCTTTATGTGGTACTGTTTTAAATATTGTAAATACACACACACATTATATATATATATATATATATATATATATATATATATATATATACTGTATATGTATATACTG